GTTTCAAATGGGGGGTGCTGTGGGGATGACACCAGGGCCGGTTCTGACCCGTTTGCTGCCCTAGGCAAGATTTTTGCTGGTTCAATTATATCTTATTTTACCAGTTAACATTTATTTATTCATCCATATTTTTTAATCTCTCCAGTTTTAAAGGATATTGTTGGTTTACTGTCCTATAGTATACATTGGAATGATTTCAAACCTGTTTTTATTTATCCTAATAATTATAAAGGTGTGCCTTGGAAATATTTGTTTACATAAATTGACCAAACCGTTTGAGACACACTGAGATAACTTAGACTAAAGTGAACTATCTAAACATTCAGAGTCCTTTACCTCACTGAGCCTCTCAGGGCACATGGAAAATGTAACCGGGGTGAAAAGGGTGTTATCTTTACTTAATTATGAATGTGAACATCAAGGCCGAAAATTCGTTTTTTTTGTATTATATTTGTATTATATTTGTATTATATTTCCATTTAATCTTGTGGACGTGCAGATTCCCTGTCCTCCATCAGGGGGTGCTGCAGCACCTCAGCACCCCTACTTACCACGGCCCTGTATGAAAAGGTTCAACGACGCACACACACTTCATCTCGGCTCGCGCTGCACGCTCACAGGCTTAGATTGTGCAATAAAGTATTGCGCACCTTGGAGGTGCAGCGCAGGCATATTGTTATTCAAGAGATGCGTTGTTCTTTTGGAAAACATGTTTTTCTTTTCAATAATACTCATTACATTGACACATGCATTATTTGTGATTAAAATAATGGTTGTTGTTGGTAATGTATTAGCGACCCCCACAGATGTATGATTTCACTGCGTCCGTGGGAGCTCAGACCCCTCCTTATGGGAGCTCAGCTCCAATAGAGTGGCGAAGTCCCTCCCCTTCCGGTGGACCTCCATGGGACCTTATTTCGGAAAAGTTATGCATTGAAGTCAATGGAGAGAGAAAGATTATCTTTCGATCCCGTTTGAATTGTGCCACGAATTACACATATGATGTTTGTCAATTTAAAAGATAATTTTGCAAGTCAAAAAAATTAAAATGTGTCGTAAAACTGTGAAGTAACACATTTGTTTGTGTGAAAGGCTCAATGAACTACATCTCTGGTCAACCACACACGTCACTAGTGATGGGAATTCCGGCTCTTCTTGGTGAGCCGGATCATTTGGCTCGGCTCACCAAGAAGAGCCGGCTCTTTCGGCTCCCAAACGGCTCTTCAGTTTACCACATATTATACCTTTTATAATTCAATCAAATGTAGCCCTGTTTTGACTAATGATTTATATGTGTACACATATCACTTAAATTATTCAATACATCCTTTGTACTGAAGTATTCAAAAGTAAAAATTACATGTTTAATATCAATTATTTGCTGTGGCCAATTGTTTTCATTGCATTTACAGACCCTTGTATCTCTCTGATACCACCCAATGAATGCACTGACTTGCTTGTAGAACCACGCTACACAAAGCAGATAGCAACACCTATAAAAACTTAAGCATAGACATTTTAAAAAAGGGGCTACTGTATCGACATTTTAAAATTATATTTAAAGAAAAGGCCCTGACAAAACAGCAGGGCTCTATTTCAGTCCTAACTATAGAAAAAAAGACAGCAACAGCTGACATCAAATCTTTGCTGAGCCCAAGGATAATCATAAATAAATAACATAGTGAAAATAAATATATTGCAATGCTCAAAACAGCAGCATCCAACCGTCTCTAATCCTTGGATATTACATGTCACTGCATGCATGCACGGAGCAGCTGTAGCGCGGAGATCATCATATCATTCTGTCTTGTATTACTTAACAAAAAATAACAAAAACAAAAAAACGGCTCATCGCGGGCGCGAGCCGGCTCCCGTCGTTCACTTAAAAGAGCCGGCTCTTTGAGCCGGCTCGTTCGCGACCGACACATCACTACACGTCACCAAGATGGCCGTCACTACTGTCTTGTCAACAAACGATTGACTACCCTCACTATCACCACAATGAAACACGTCCTGAAGAATGTCATGCAAAGCCTGCCTTCCTTTGATTCTCTCTGAACTGCCTGGTCGTTTTAATGTTTAATGTCAACCATTTGTGCAGATAGCATGAAGTAGAAAAGATCGCCGATGCTAACGTTAGCGTTAGCATTTCTCCCCCGGAATTAAATGGTGTATTATAGAATGATCACACCGGTGACAGTACTCTTCAAAGGGTTCACGAAATATGACTACTACTCTTACTGTTTAACATTTTGGGTTACTTAATGTTACTTCATGTTAAGGCTAATAAAAATGACAAGGCTGTAATGCTAACTAACGTGCTAGCTACTAGCTAGGTAGCTAACTTGATCAAGCCACTCCTGGTCGTTTCATCAGACGGGAAGCAAAAGAACGAGCAAGACCCATTGCTGGTATAATAACAACCTGGTACTAAGCACACAGGCATCTTGTTAAAGTTATCTTATCTTAGCCAGCGCCATATAGATAGATTATATCTATATTGCGCTGATTTTAGGTATCTGAATGGTGGAGGTAAACAATTGTGACATCACTTACGCGACTCTGGGATTTGTAGTCTTTCTAGTTACGTATTTTTCATAGTCTTATATTTCAACAGTTTTACGACAAACTGTGACTTTTTTGACATGGAAATGATTTTTTAAGATTGACAAACATCATATGTGTAATTCATGGCACAATTCAAACGGGATCGAAAGATAAATTTTCTCTCCCCATTGACTTCAATGCATAACTTTTCCGGAATAAGGTCCCATTACCCGGAAGTAAGTGGGAGGGACTTCGCCACTCTATTGGCTCCCACATAACTCGAACCCTGGTTAGCCCTACCAGAGATTACCCAACACAAAGGTTGCATTCGAATAGTCCATTTAGCTTAGGAACCTTCCTAACGGAGTGAAATGACCCGGAAGCCCCTCAGTGGCAGCCATGATAAGTGCCGTTCGAATTATCTAAATTAAAAGGAAAGGAGGTTTCAAACTTCCTTTATAACCTCCTTTAGCTTAGGAACCACTGGACCTCCCTAACCGAAAGGAGAGGAGAAAATGCTGCCCCACAATGCCTTGCAGCCGCAGCATTTACCGTCACACAACAGTCAGCCGTTCACGGAAACAACCGATTATGAACGAGAAATTATATCATGAAAGTTACGGTGCTTATTAAGCTTTTTAAAACGTATGTGGTAAGTTGCCAAAGTGCTTTGTTTTGAACGTTCATCAGTATTATAATCAAAAAGAGAAATATGAACGTTAGTTTTTACTGAAATGATCAAATAAAGTCAACATTTCACAGTCTTTACTGAGCTGTGTGGGGTTTGTTCAACTTTTAAAAGATGTTTGAATGGTGATATACACAGTGATAGATGTTAAGGACTAACGTTTATAATAAATACATTTGTATTTATTTTAAGATCTTTTCATACAATCATACGTACAGTAGGCTATTGGGATCATTTGTATTAATGTGGACCGGAGGGAGAGGGTGAAGAGCATAAGTTGCACTTTCCTTTTTTATTTCAATTCCAACTTTGGTCATGAAGAATATGTTTCTCTGTTGTCCCCGTTCATAAAGCATAAAATAACAGCATCAGAGCACGGTGCAGAGTCTCTAGATGAGTTTACAGTAGTCCCTCGTTCTTATTAAACATCCATGTTGTAGTCCGCTGTATAGAAAACTGTAGTTTCCATAGTTTCCCCACAGCAGCAGGCGCACATTTATGACCTCTGCTGGCGCATCATAAACACGTCGGATAGTGAAAGTGCAGTCGATTCTCTAAAGTGCCGCAGTCTCTTCTCCTAAATCCTTTTGAATTCTCCTATCCACTATCCCTTAACCCCATGACGTTTCACTCCGAGGTCAAGGAATAGACGATAGGGTTAGAACTTAGGAGCTGTTGTTTTGGAGTATTCGAACGCAACCCAATACTCTGGAGCCGCAACTGCCGACCCGTATTGCGCATGCGCAGATCTAAGATCCAGTAGAAATGATAAAAAAGTAAAAGTCTGCTGCTTATTGTTCTACTAGGCCAACATAGAGTCAAAGAGTATATGAGAGTGAGAGTGTGTTCATTAATATATGTGGCAGTTTGGAGTAAGTCTATAGATGTGTGTGTGTGTGTGTGTTTCATGTATAGGCCTCTCACGATAATTCATTTTGTTGGATACATTTTCCCGGAGATTATTGCGATAATCGATAATATTGTCGGCACCGTTGTATGACCATTTTAGACCACTGACATAATGATAATATGTAATAATAATTCAAGTACATCCTTTCAAACTGCTAGTCACATCCTCATGTCAATGGAAATGTATCGAGGTCAGAAAAGTTATCGAGTTCATTTTTATTTATCGTACGATAAGTCAATGAATTGCTTATCGCGACAGGCACACAATAAAACAGTGGAAACAAACATGTTTGACTTTCATTAGTGAATGAAACTGTGTGCCCTTTATAGTCTGTGTCCATTATTGTGTATTTGTATATATTGTATATATATATCCTATATATATGCTAAGGTCCCGCTGCTGACACAATAGCAGTCATTTCATGCGCATATGTGTAATTAAACCGAATTAAACCCATGATATCAAAATCTCACTCCAGCCAGGTACCCAACGTTGGCAACCCTGATTATATGATTCTGTTTTCTTCAAGTTTGTATCTTCCTGGTCGAATGCACTTATTGTAAGTCGCTTTGGATAAAAGCGTCAGCTAAATGAAATGTAGTGTAGTGTAATGCTGACTGCAATGGGGATTGAACCTGTAACCCCCTGAACCGAACACCTACGGACAACCCACTACGTTACACGCTTCCATATATATATATATATTTATATATGTATATTATATGTATCTATCAATTTGAACTAAATGATCACTGATGTGCCTTTTTCTGATGTTGTTGAAAAATTGTGCAATAAAGTTGGAGAAAAAAACCAAAACGTAAACATGTCGTCATGACCAGGTGACTATCCCGGAAGTGTGTGTTTGAGCCAAAATGGCGGCGCGTTGCAGTGAGGAACCAGGATCCAGTTTCTTCCGTTTCTTCAGTTTCTTCAGTTTCCTCAGTTTCTGAGAGAGTCGCAGCGGGACGCCGGGGATCAGGCAGGAGGTCTCAGTTCACATTAAACACAGTTAGCATTATTCACCCGGTTAAAACGTTGTTGTTAGACATGTTGTTAGCTTAGCCGCTAACAACATGTCGAGTCACGGGTGTGTTGTCAACAGGTAAACAAACAGGTAAACAGCCGACATGCTGCCTATCATCTCACTGAGGTCATTTACCCACAGATTAGCAGGTTAGCATGTTAGCAGCCGGCTGTCTTCCTGTTTGTTGTTCCTTTAGCATCACATGCTAACAGAGGGAAGCTAACGGCTGTTTTTATTGCACAATATAAACCATTTATATTCAGGAAGATGAAGTTAACACTGTGTCTCTCTCTCTCTCTCTGTGTGTGTGTGTCTCTCTCTCTGTGTGTGTGTGTCTCTGTGTGTCTCTGTGTCTGTGTCTGTTTCTCTCTGTGTCTGTTTCTCTCTGTGTGTCTCTGTGTGTGTGTGTCTGTCTCTGTGTGTGTGTCTCTCTGTGTGTCTGTGTTTGTGTCTGTTTCTCTCTGTGTCTGTTTCTCTGTGTCTGTGTTTGTGTCTGTTTCTCTCTGTGTGTCTGTCTCTGTGTCTGTGTGTGTGTGTCTGTCTCTGTGTGTGTGTGTGTTTCTCTCTGTGTGTGTGTGTGTGTGTGTGTTTCTCTCTGTGTCTCTGTGTCTGTGTGTGTGTGTCTGTCTGTCTCTGTGTGTGTGTGTGTGTGTGTGTCTCTGTGTCTGTCTCTGTGTGTGTGTTTCTCTGTGTGTGTCTGTCTCTGTGTGTGTGTGTGTGTGTGTTTCTCTGTGTGTGTGTGTTTCTCTCTGTGTGTCTGTCTCTGTGTGTGTGTGTGTCTGTGTGTGTGTGTGTTTCTCTCTGTGTGTCTGTCTGTCTCTGTGTGTGTGTGTGTTTCTCTCTGTGTGTGTGTGTTTCTCTCTGTGTGTGTGTGTGTTTCTCTCTGTGTGTGTGTCTCTGTGTGTGTCTCTCTCTCTGTGTCTGTCTCTCTGTGTGTGTCTGTGTCTCTCTCTCTGTGTCTGTCTCTCTGTGTGTGTCTGTGTCTCTCTCTCTCTCTGTGTCTGTCTCTCTGTGTGTGTGTGTCTGTGTTTCTCTCTCTCTCTGTGTATGTGTGTGTCTCTCTGTGTGTGTGTGTGTGTGTGTGTAGGTATGGAGCAGTGTGTGTGGAGGAGACATGTCTCCGATCAGCTGAAGCAGAGAGACCGAGTCCAGAGACAAGCCTTCGAGGAGCTCATCCACCAGTGTGAGGACCTGTCTGTCTCTCACCTGTCTGTCTCTCTACCTTTCTGTCTCTCACATCTCTGTCTCTCACCTCTCTGTTTCTCACCTGTCTGTCTCTCACCTGTCTGTCCCTCAGATACTCGTCTCCTGGAGAAGTCAGACCTGCAGGCCGTCCTCTCTGAAAGATATCAGGCTGATAAATATGAGCTGCAGCGAGGACACGAGGGCGGGTGAGGACCCTGAGACATAGAATACATATAACATCATAAATATATGAACTGTAACCCTATTGGTCCCCTCAGGTCAGACAGCTTTAACCCTATTGGTCCCCTCAGGTCAGACAGCTTTAACCCTATTGGTCCCCTCAGGTCAGACAGCTTTAACCCTATTGGTCCCCTCAGGTCAGACAGCTTTAACCCTATTGGTCCCCTCAGGTCAGACGGGTCTAACCCTATTGGTCCCCTCAGGTCAGACGGGTCGCTGCAGCAGGAGGTGTCTCTGATGAGGATCAGACACCAGGAGGAGCTGACAGAGCTGCACAAGAAGAGAGGAGAGGTACTCACACACACTCACTCACACACTCACTCACTCACTCACTCACTCACACACACACACACTCACTCACTCACTCACTCACTCACTCACTCACTCACACACACACTCACTCACTCACTCACTCACTCACTCACTCTCTCACTCTCTCACTCACTCACTCACTCACTCACTCACTCACTCACTCACTCACTCACTCACTCACTCACTCACTCAGGCCCAATCCCAAACCACTCCCTCGACCCTACCCCTCCGTGACGGAGTGAACTCTGTCTGTAGCCTCACTCTCAGCTGAACGAAGTTCCCTCCATTAAGGGTTAGGGTATAAATACAGCGCAGCACATTGGGCCTCCCCTCTCTCCTCAGAAACAGGAAGTGCCGTAACTGAATGTAACAACGGTTTCAAATCAGCATCTCTTTGACCAAACATTTAAATTAATAACTCAAATAAAACTCCAAACATCTTTCATTGTGTTACTTTTTTGTAAAGCTCTATTAGTTTGAAACCTGATGTTTATAAGCTTCTTAGTTTTTGCAACAGTCTGTAAATATACACAACTTTATAATAAAATGCACACATTGACCTTTTTCTAGACTAAACACAGGTACGATCCTCAGTTAAAAACATATGAGGTTATCATGAGGTTGTTAACATCGCAGTTTATCACTGGATGTTTGGAACTGTTTGTTAACAGCGTGTTTCCTGACGGACACGCGGCGTGTTTCCTGACGGACACGCGGCGTGTTTCCTGACGGACACGCGGCGTGTTTCCTGACGGACACGCGGCGTGACTCCGGTCAGGTAGAGACCGGTCTCCAGTCAGCACCGATGCAGACTCGCTGTTTGAGGGCTTGATAGCCCACTCCCCCTCCACACTCGTTGGTTTGGAACAGCACTTAATGTGGCGGACCCTCCGCGCGAGCGCGCAAACGGAGGGGTAGTGGTAGGGTACAGGGGGCGGATTGGGCCTCACTCACACAGACCAGCCATAAGATAATATTTTCATTATATATCTATACTGTAGCTAATCTCTCTGTGTGTGTGTGTGTGTGTGTGTGTGTGTGTGTGTGTGTGTGTGTGTGTGTGTGTGTGTGTGTGTGTGTGTGTGTGTGTGTGTGTGTGTGTGTGTGTGTGTGTGTGTGTGTGTGTGTGTGTGTGTGTGTGTGTGTGTGTGTGTGTGTGTGTGTGTGTGTGTGTGTGTGTGTGTGTGTGTGTGTGTGTGTGTGTGTGTGTGTGTGTGTGTGTGTGTGTGTGTGTGTGTGTCCGTCCTGCAGCTGGCTCAGAATGTGATCGAACTGAACAACCAGATTCAACAGAAAGACAAGTTGATCCAGAGCAACGAGGCCAAGTAAGCACACACACACTCTCACACACTCACTCACTGGCACACACACACACTTGCACACACACTCTCACACACACACTTGCACACACACTCTCACACACACACTCACTCACTGGCACACACTTAAACACACTCTCAGACTGTGTGTGTGTGTAGGATGTTGCAGTACCAGCAGCAGATCTCCGGCCTGGAGGGGGACTGTCGGGACCTCAGGGGCCTCCTGCAGGTACGCAGAATAATACACCATGCCTACATTTCCCACAATGCAATACTAATACAGTAATATACCTGAGGGAACCCATGCCTACGTTTCCCACAATGCAACAGAGCAATGACGATCAGACGGGGGTCGGTGATGATAAGTAAAAGGTCTGATTTCCCACAATCCCCTCTGCCGGCCTCAGCTCCCAGCATGCTCTAGTGCTGCATGATGGTCCCAGCAGCTGCTGAGACAGGAAGTGACATCACAAACAGGATGTGACATCACAGCGAGTCTGTACAGAGATCCTGCAGGCGCCCAGTGATGATGTCATCCAACAGAACCAATCAGTATGCAGCGAGAGGCCGGGGGGGGGGTGGGGCATGATCTCCAGTTTTCAACCTGAGACCCCCAGACTGATGAACGTTTATTATTTAGCCTGGACATCTACAGAGACCCTTCCTCTCAAACAGATCAAACCGTCTCAATGCTCCAGGCGAGACCACAGATCTGTCCTCTTCTGGTTCACACTGATATTTATCATCCTGGAAATGTCAGAAATGGATTCAGCATCCTCAATAACCCCCGAAACCTCTAAGACACTGTCCAGATCTGCCAAGACATTAATTGTAGTCCAGATATAATGCTCATTAAGGCTAATTGATGCTCATGAATGCTAATTGATGCTAATTAAGGCTAATTGATGCTAATTGTGTAAATGTCCCATCACCTGAGCCCCTTCATCTCTATCTAACACTTTGGGGTCTCAACACCTCCAGCGTCAGGACTCTGAGCTGCAGACAGACTGTATGAACAAATGGACTTGTTTTATTATTAAAAGGTGTATTGTTGTTGTTTAATGAGGACCTGGAGCGAGCCAATCAGACGCTGAAGGACGAGTACGACGCCCTGCAGATCACCTTCTGCGCTCTGGAGGAGAAACTGAGGAAAACATCCGAAGACAATCAGGAGCTGGTCAGCCGCTGGATGGCCGAGAAGAGCCAGGAGGCCAACAAGCTGAACGCTGAGAACGAAAAGGACACCAGGTGAGACAGAGGGACACCAGGTGAGACAGAGGGACACCAGGTGAGGCAGAGAGACACCAGGTGAGACAGAGGGACACCAGGTGAGACAGAGGGACACCAGGTGAGGCAGAGGGGACACCAGGTGAGACAGAGGGACACCAGGTGAGGCAGAGGGACACCAGGTGAGACAGAGGGACACCAGGTGAGGCAGAGGGACACCAGGTGAGACAGAGGGACACCAGGTGAGACAGAGGGACACCAGGTGAGACAGAGGGACACCAGGTGAGACAGAGGGACACCAGGTGAGGCAGAGGGACACCAGGTGAGACAGAGGGACACCAGGTGAGACAGAGGGACACCAGGTGAGACAGAGGGACACCAGGTGAGACAGAGGGACACCAGGTGAGACAGAGGGACACCAGGTGAGACAGAGGGACACCAGGTGAGGCAGAGGGACACCAGGTGAGACAGAGGGACACCAGGTGAGACAGAGGGACACCAGGTGAGGCAGAGGGACACCAGGTGAGGCAGAGAGACACCAGGTGAGGCAGAGAGACACCAGGTGAGACAGAGGGACACCAGGTGAGACAGAGGGACACCAGGTGAGACAGAGGGACACCAGGTGAGACAGAGAAACACCAGGTGAGGCAGAGGGACACCAGGTGAGGCAGAGAGACACCAGGTGAGGCAGAGAAACACCAGGTGAGGCAGAGGGACACCAGGTGAGGCAGAGGGACACCAGGTGAGACAGAGGGACACCAGGTGAGACAGAGAGACACCAGGTGAGGCAGAGAGACACCAGGTGAGGCAGAGAAACACCAGGTGAGACAGAGGGACACCAGGTGAGGCAGAGGGACACCAGGTGAGACAGAGGGACACCAGGTGAGACAGAGGGACACCAGGTGAGGCAGAGGGACACCAGGTGAGGCAGAGGGACACCAGGTGAGGCAGAGGGACACCAGGTGAGACAGAGGGACATATATTTTTTAAATCCTCCGGAGCAGAGAGAGGAGCTGTGGATTATTGTTATTGTGTTTCTTAGGGTCAAACACACTAAACTCACAACTTCAAATGAAAGCGTTTAGTTTATTTAATAAACCAATTTGGTGCTATATATAAATATATTTAAAAAAAAAAAAGAACAATAATTCTTTTTTTTAACACCGCTAACGAAGCCCCGCGCCGCTCCAAGACAATAGGGGAAACACTGCACGGTATATATCACGATACACCATATATATCACATGCGCGATATATATCACGATACATGTTATATATCACAATGCACAATATATATCGCTATATTATGAAATGCCTTTCCATATATCACCAGTGTGAGGGTTTTTAAAACATGATTTATAGAGTAGTTTCGTCACGTTTGATATTGAGCATAAATGAGCATTTCCGTGTGTGTGTGTGTGTGTGTGTGTGTGTGTGTGTGTGTGTGTGTGTGTGTGTGTGTGTGTGTGTGTGTGTGTGTGTGTGTGTGTGTGTGTGTGTGTGTGTGTGTGTGTGTGTGTGTGTGTGTGTGTGTGTGTGTGTGTGTGTGTGTGTGTGTGTGTGTGTGTGTGTGTGTGTGTGTGTGTGTGTGTGTGTGTGTGTGTGTGTGTGTGTGTGTGTGTGTGTGTGTGTGTGTGTGTGTGTGTGTGTGCGTGTGTAGACGCAGACAGGCTAAGCTGCAGAAGGAGCTGGCCGACGCCGCCAAGGAGCCGCTGCCCATCGACCCGTCAGTATAAACATTATGTATAAATATAGGAGTCATACTGACTGACCCGTCATGTGACTGACACGTCACGTGACTGACTGACTCGTCATGTGACTGACACGTCACGTGACTGACTGACACGTCATGTGACTGACACGTCACGTGACTGACTGACTCGTCATGTGACTGACTCGTCATGTGACTGACACGTCATGTGACTGACTCGTCATGTGACTGACTCGTCATGTGACTGACACGTCATGTGACTGACACGTCACGTGACTGACTGACTCGTCATGTGACTGACTCGTCATGTGACTCTGTCCTCAGAGACGACGACATCGAGGTTCTGGCAGAGGAGGCTGGGAAGGGGGGGGGGGAGACGTCTCCCAGCAGGGCGCTCAGCAGGACCCCCAGGTGAGAGGGTTATATATCATATATTCATCAATATGTTTCATTTAAAGAGTTACTCTTAAGGTGTGTGTTTGTGTGTGCAGTAAGAAGACATCCCAGCCCCCCCCTGGTGGTCTGATGGACTCCATCTCCAACATCTTTGGGTGTGTGTGTGTTTCTAATGAGTGTGTGTGTGGTTCTACAGAGTGTGTGTGTGTGGTTCTAATTAGTGTGTGTGGTTCTACAGAGTGTGTGTGGTTCTACAGAGTGTGTGTGTGTTTCTAATGAGTGTGTGTGTGGTTCTACAGAGTGTGTGTGTGGTTCTAATGAGTGTGTGGTTCTACAGAGTGTGTGTGTGGTTCTAATGAGTGTGTGGTTCTACAGAGTGTGTGTGTGGTTCTAATGAGTGTGTGGTTCTAATGAGTGTGTGGTTCTACAGAGTGTGTGTGTGGTTCTAATGAGTGTGTGGTTCTAATGAGTGTGTGTGTAGTTCTACAGAGTGTGTGTGGTTCTGAGTGTGTGTGTGTTTCTAATGTGTGTGTGTAGTTCTAATGAGTGTGTGTGTGGTTCTAATGAGTGTGTGTGTGGTTCTACAGAGTGTGTGTGTGGTTCTAATGAGTGTGTGTGTGTTCAGGCGCAGAGCCCACCCCTACAGCTCCTCTCCTGAAGGATCAGAAGCTCCGTCAGGTGTGTGTGCTGAAGTCCGGGTCCCCACCACGGCCATACACGTGTTTGTGAGTATCAGAGTACACACTGCATTCAACTTTATTTAAACAGGCTGCAGTACAGAGCGCTTCAAAGGGTTTATGAAGACTCACTAGCCTCTTCAGGACTCTGATTGGATGATTTCCTGACTCTCCCTCTCTCTCTGATTGGATGATTTCCTGACTCCCTCTCTCTCTGATTGGATGATTTCCTGACTCTCTCTCTCTCTCTCTGATTGGATGATTTCCTGACTCTCTCTCTCTCTCTCTCTGATTGGATGATTTCCTGACTCTCTCTCTCTCTCTCTCTGATTGGATGATTTCCTGACTCCCTCTCTCTCTCTGATTGGATGATTTCCTGACTCCCTCTCTCTCTCTGATTGGATGATTTCCTGACTCTCTCTCTCTGATTGGATGATTTCCTGACTCTCTCTCTCTCTCTCTGATTGGATGATTTCCTGACTCTCTCTCTCTCTCTCTCTGATTGGATGATTTCCTGACTCCCTCTCTCTCTCTGATTGGATGATTTCCTGACTCTCTCTCTCTCTCTGATTGGATGATTTCCTGACTCTCTCTCTCTGATTGGATGATTTCCTGACTCCCTCTCTCTCTGATTGGATGATTTCCTGACCCCCTCTCTCTCTGATTGGATGATTTCCTGACTCCCTCTCTCTCTCTGATTGGATGATTTCCTGACTCCCTCTCTCTCTGATTGGATGATTTCCTGACTCTCTCTCTCTCTCTCTGATTGGATGATTTCCTGACTCTCTCTCTCTCTCTGATTGGATGATTTCCTGACTCCCTCTCTCTCTGATTGGATGATTTCCTGACTCCCTCTCTCTCTGATTGGATGATTTCCTGACTCTCCCTCTCTCTCTGATTGGATGATTTCCTGACCCCCTCTCTCTCTGATTGGATGATTTCCTGACTCCCTCTCTCTCTGATTGGATGATTTCCTGACTCTCCCTCTCTCTCTCTGATTGGATGATTTCCTGACTCTCTCTCTCTCTCTCTGATTGGATGATTTCCTGACTCCCTTTCTCTCTCTGATTGGATGATTTCCTGACTCCCTTTCTCTCTGATTGGATGATTTCCTGACTCCCTTTCTCTCTCTGATTGGATGATTTCCTGACTCTCTCTCTCTCTCTCTGATTGGATGATTTCCTGACTCTCTCTCTCTCTCTCTGATTGGATGATTTCCTGACTCCCTCTCTCTCTCTGATTGGATGATTTCCTGACTCTCTCTCTCTCTCTGATTGTATGATTTCCTGACTCCCTTTCTCTCTGATTGGATGATTTCCTGACTCTCTCTCTCTGATTGGATGATTTCCTGACTCCCTCTCTCTCTGATTGGATGATTTCCTGACCCCCTCTCTCTCTGATTGGATGATTTCCTGACTCCCTCTCTCTCTCTGATTGGATGATTTCCTGACTCCCTCTCTCTCTGATTGGATGATTTCCTGACTCTCTCTCTCTCTCTGATTGGATGATTTCCTGACTCTCTCTCTCTCTCTGATTGGATGATTTCCTGACTCCCTCTCTCTCTGATTGGATGATTTCCTGACCCCCTCTCTCTCTGATTGGATGATTTCCTGACTCCCTCTCTCTCTGATTGGATGATTTCCTGACTCTCCCTCTCTCTCTCTGATTGGATGATTTCCTGACTCTCTCTCTCTCTCTGATTGGATGATTTCCTGACTCCCTTTCTCTCTCTGATTGGATGATTTCCTGACTCTCTCTCTCTCTCTGATTGGATGATTTCCTGACTCCCTTTCTCTCTCTGATTGGATGATTTCCTGACTCTCTCTCTCTCTCTGATTGGATGATTTCCTGACTCTCTCTCTCTCTCTGATTGGATGATTTCCTGACTCCCTCTCTCTCTGATTGGATGATTTCCTGACTCCCTTTCTCTCTCTGATTGGATGATTTCCTGACTCCCTCTCTCTGATTGGTCAGGATGCTCATGACGGAGAGGTAAACGCTGTGAGCTTTAGTCCCGGCTCCCGTCTCCTAGCAACCGGAGGGATGGACCGCAAGGTGAAGCTGTGGGAGGTCGTCTCCGGTGAGTTCAGGGACCTCTGTTAAACTGTAAACTGTTCCCTTCAGGGACTGCTGTTAAACTGTAAACTGTGTGTTCAGGGACTGCTGTTAAACGGTGTGTTCAGGGACCTCTGTTAAACTGTGTTCAGGGACCTCTGTTAAACTGTGTTCAGGGACCTCTGTTAAACTGTAGACTGTGTGTTCAGGGACCTCTGTTAAATTGTAGACTGTGTGTTCAGGGACCTGTGTTAAACTGTAGACTATGTGTTCAGGGACCTCTGTTAAACTGTAGACTGTGTGTTCAGGGACCTCTGTTAAACTATAGACTATGTGTTGAGGGACCTCTGGTAAACTGCAAACTGTAAACGGTGTGTTCAGGGACCTCTGTTAAACTGTAAACTGTGTGTTTAGGGACCTCTGTTAAACTGTAAACTGTGTGTTTAGGGACCTCTGTTGAACTGTAGAAGGTGTGTTCAGGGACCTCTGTTAAACTGTAGATGGCGTGTTCAGGGACCTCTGTTAAATGGTAGACAGTGTGTTCAGGGACCTCTGTTAAACTGTAGACTGTGTGTTCAGGTACCTCTGTTAAACTGTAGACTGTGTGTTCAGGGATCTCTGTTAAACTGTTGACGGTGTGTTCAGGGACCTCTGTTAAACTGTAGATGGCGTGTTCAGGGACCTCTGTTAAACTGTAGACTGTGTGTTCAGGTACCTCTGTTAAACTGTAGACTGTGTGTTTCAGGGATCTCTGTTAAACTGTAGACTGTGTTCAGGGACCTGTTAAACTGTAAACTGTGTGTTTCAGGGACCCCTGTTAAACTGTAAACTGTGTGTTTCAGGGACCTCTGTTAAACTGTAGACGGTGTGTTCAGGGACCTCTGTTAAATGGTGTGTTCAGAGACCTCTGTTAAACTGTAGACGGTGTGTTCAGGGACCTCTGTTAAACTGTAGACTGTGTTCAGGTCGCTGTGAGCCGAAAGGTTCACTGACTGGCAGCAACGCGGGAATCACCAGCATCGAGTTCGACAGCGCAGTAAGTCTATCTGTTATTACACGGCTCTGTTGAATACTGGATTCTGATTGGTCGATTAGGATCCTCCAGAGGTTGTTAATACTTGATAACACTGCTGATTGGTTCTGGGGTTGTGATGTCATTCTCCAATGTTCTGCAGGGCTCCTTCCTGCTGGCGGCGTCCAATGACTTTGCGAGTCGTCTGTGGACCGTAGAGGACTCCCGTCTGAGAGTGAGTCCTTATGGTTCTCACCTGTTCTCACCTGTTCTCACCTGTTCTCGCCTGTATTCGCCTGACCTGTACTCGCCTGATCTCACCTGACCTGTACTCGCCTGTATTCACCTGACCTGTACTCGCCTGTATTCACCTGACCTGTACTCGCCTGTTCTCACCTGACCTGTACTCACCTGTACTCGCCTGTTCTCACCTGACCTGTACTCGCCTGTTCTCACCTGACCTGTACTCGCCTGTATTCACCTGACCTGTACTCGCCTGTATTCACCTGACCTGTACTCGCCTGTATTCTGACCTGTACTCCTGTTATCACCTGACCTGTACTCACCTGTACTCGCCTGTTCTCACCTGACCTGTACTCACCTGTACTCGCCTGTTCTCACCTGACCTGTACTCGCCTGACCTGTACTCTCCTGACCTGTACTCGCCTGTCCTCTCCTGACCTGTCCTGTACTCGCCTGGCCTGTCCTCTCCTGACCTGTTCTCACCTGACCTGTACTCGCCTGACCTGTCCTCTCCTGACCTGTACTCGCCTGTACTCGCCTGTCCTCTCCTGACCTGTACTCGCCTGTATTCACCTGACCTGTACTCGCCTGTATTCACCTGACCTGTACTCGCCTGTTCTCACCTGACCTGTACTCGCCTGTTCTCACCTGACCTGTACTCACCTGTACTCGCCTGTTCTCACCTGACCTGTACTCACCTGTACTCGCCTGTTCTCACCTGACCTGTACTCGCCTGACCTGTTCTCGTCTGACCTGTACTCGCCTGTTCTCACCTGACCTGTACTCGCCTGTCCTCTCCTGACCTGTACTCGCCTGACCTGTACTCGCCTGACCTGTACTCGCCTGTACACGCCTGTACTCGCCTGTTCTCACCTGACCTGTACTCGCCTGTCCTCTCCTGACCTGTACTCTCCTGACCTGTCCTCTCCTGACCTGTACTCGCCTGACCTGTACTCGCCTGTCCTCTCCTGACCTGTACTCGCCTGACCTGTACTCGCCTGTCCTCTCCTGACCTGTACTCGCCTGACCTGTCTTCTCCTGACCTGTCCTCTCCTGACCTGTCCTCTCCCGACCTGTCCTCTCCTGACCTGTACTCGCCTGACCTGTACTCGCCTGTACTCGCCTGTCCTCTCCTGACCTGTACTCGCCTGTACTCGCCTGACCTGTACTCGCCTGTCCTCTCCTGACCTGTACTCGCCTGTCCTCTCCTGACCTGTACTCGCCTGTACTCGCCTGACCTGTCCTGTACTCGCCTGTTCTCACTGTGTGTGTGTGTGTGTGTGTGTGTGTGTGTGTGTTTTTCCTCCAGCACACCCTGACCGGTCACAGTGGAAAGGTGCTGTCAGCTCGATTCCTATTGGACAACACTCGCATCGTCTCCGGGAGCTACGACCGTACCCTCAAACTGTGGGACCTCCGCAGCAAAGTCTGTACGTCTTTACCTGAGTCGACACTTTCTCTAGAGGGCTGAGTCGGCACTGTCTCTAGAGAGCCGAGTCGGCACTGTCTCTAGAGGGCCGAGTCGGCACTTTCTCTAGAGGGCCGAGTCGGCACTTTCTCTAGAGGGCCGAGTCGGCACTTTCTCTAGAGGGCCGAGTCGGCACTTTCTCTAGAGGGCCGAGTCGGCACTTTCTCTAGAGGGCCGAGTCGGCACTTTCTCTAGAGGGCCGAGTCGGCACTTTCTCTTGAGGGCCGAGTCGGCACTTTCTCTAGAGGCCTGAGTCGGCACTTTCTCTAGAGGGCTGAGTCGGCACTTTCTCTAGAGGGCTGAGTCAGCACCCCGAGTCAGCACTTTCTCTAGAGGGCTGAGTCTGCACTTTCTCTAGAGGCCTGAGTCAGCACTTTCTCTAGAGGGCTGAGTCAGCACTTTCTCTAGAGGGCTGAGTCAGCACCCTGAGTCAGCACTTTCTCTAGAGGCCTGAGTCAGCACTTTCTCTAGAGGCCTGAGTCAGCACTTTCTCTAGAGGGCTGAGTCTGCACTTTCTCTAGAGGGCTGAGTCAGCACTTAGTGTTCGTGGTGCTGAGTCATCACTTAGTGTTCGTGGTGCTGAGTCATCACTTAGTCTTCAGGGTACTGAGTCATCACTTAGTGTTCGTGGTGCTGAGTCATCACTTAGTGTTCGTGGTGCTGAGTCATCACTTAGTCTTCAGGGTACTGAGTCATCACTTCGTGTTCGTGGTGCTGAGTCATCACTTAGTCTTCAGGGTACTGAGTCATCACTCAGTGTTCAGGGTGCTGAGTCATCACTTAGTGTTCAGGTTGCTGAGTCATCACTCAGTGTTCAGGTTGCTGAGTCATCACTTAGTGTTCAGGGTGCTGAGTCATCACTTAATGTTCAGGGTGCTGAGTCATCACTTAGTGTTCAGGGTGCTGAGTCATCACTTAGTGTTCAGGGTGCTGAGTCATCACTTAGTGTTCAGGGTGCTGAGTCATCACTCAGTGTTCAGGGTACTGAGTCATCACTTAGTGTTCGTGGTGCTGAGTCATCACTCAGTGTTCGTGGTGCTGAGTCATCACTTAGTGTTCAGGGTGCTGAGTCATCACTTAGTGTTCAGGGTGCTGAGTCATCACTTAGTGTTCAGGGTGCTGAGTCATCACTTAGTCTTCAGGGTACTGAGTCATCGCTTAGTGTTCAGGGTGCTGAGTCATCACTTAGTGTTCAGGTTGCTGAGTCATCACTCAGTGTTCAGGGTGCTGAGTCATCACTTAATGTTCAGGGGTAGGCTGAGTCATCACTTAGTGTTCAGGGTGCTGAGTCATCACTTAGTGTTCAGGGTGCTGAGTCATCACTTAGTGTTCAGGGTGCTGAGTCATCACTTAGTGTTCAGGGTGCTGAGTCATCACTCAGTGTTCAGGGTGCTGAGTCATCACTTAATGTTCAGGGTGCTGAGTCATCACTTAGTGTTCAGGGTGCTGAGTCATCACTTAGTGTTCAGGGTGCTGAGTCATCACTTAGTGTTCAGGGTGCTGAGTCATCACTCAGTGTTCAGGGTACTGAGTCATCACTCAGTGTTCAGGGTACTGAGTCATCACTCAGTGTTCAGGGTACTGAGTCATCACTTAGCAGTGTGAGAAAAAGTTTTTAGAGAGTACTTGTCCGAATACATTTTTCACTTGTCCAGAATGGACAAAAATTGGGGCCACAGGAATCTTCTTCTTCGCCATCGTATTTACATTTTCCCACGGATTTTACGACACTGCTAACGTAAGTGAGCGGTAAGATTTTACTGCATCACACATAGGGTTGGGTATAGTTTGGATTTTAACGATTCTGGTTCTGCTTTTCGATTCCGGTTATTTTCGGTTCTCGATTCCGGTTCTTTGAGAGGGTAAAAATAAGTCCCATGACAAACTGGGAGAAAAATATATTTATGAAAACATTAAGTCAAATCTGTATTCCTATTTACAAATCACTTCATACTGTTTCATTTCTTACGGTTATTGAATAAAATTATATAAAAATAATGTCTGCATTGTTTTAGTTAGTTCTATGTGGTGCAGTTTGAGAATGTACAATTGGCCCAGTCTCCTCTGATGTTACACTGCAACCTGCCTGTGAGACAGAGTCCAACCACACATGTCCAACACATAGGCCTATAATAATAATAACACATTATATTTAATAGCCTATAGGCCTAGCGCTTTTCTACAACTCAAAGACGCTTACACATGTCCTGCAACACACATGCTGCAGCTGCTCACTGTTGTAAAAGTAAATAAATAGTATTTTCATTTCAATAATGTACTTTCTATACCCTGCTTCATAAACAATACTGACATCTCTGTGCTCCTCCGAGTCTAGGGGTCGGGGGATGTGAGGACAGCGCGAGGACACAGACAGGGAGGCTGATTTAATTCATAAAGGACATTTTATTAACAACATAGGAGCTAAAACGCTTCATAAGCTTCATTACGTGTTAGAGTAAGAACATAAGAAAGTTTGACAAAGATTAGGCTGTTATTTGTTCCTACTCGGAACCGAGTTTTGCTTCCCAACCCTGCCACTGTGCTACACGTCCCGCCCCCCCCCCCCCCCCCCCCCCCCCCCCCCCCCCCCATTTAACAGTACAGAAAGCGGGGAGATGCATTTCCTGAATCGACAAGCAGAACCGAAACTAACATTTCTAAACGAACAATGGCGGACACGGACAATTTGCGAACGAGTTCTGCCTTTTGTAAACTGAGTTTATCTATAATTTGTCAATAAATGAGGGCGAAAAACGTCACTTGTCCGCCGGACAAGTCAATTGAAAGATCTACTTGTCCGATATTGTAAATAACACGTCCCGGATGGTGGGACGTGTGCTTTTTCGCACACTGCTTAGTGTTCAGGGTGCTGAGTCATCAATTAGTGTTCAGGTTGCTGAATCATGTTTCCTCTGAGTCATGTTTCTCTCTGAGTCCATGTTTTCGTCTGAGTCATGCTGAGTCATGTTTCTCTGAGTCATGCTGGAGTCATGTTTTCTCTGTAGTCCATGCTGAGTCCATGTTTTCTCTGAGTTCATGCTGAGTCATGTTTTGCTCTCTGAGTCATGTTTCCTTCCTCCTCTGAGCTCAGGTTTTCTGTCTCTCATGAGGTCATGTTTTCTCTGAGTCATGGTTTCCTCTGAGTCCATGTTTCCTCTCTGAGTCATGTTTCCCTCTGAGTCATGTTTTCTCTCTGAGTCATGTTTTCCCTCTGATGTCAGTTTCCTCTGAGTCATATTTTCTCTCTGAGTCATGTTTCCTCTGAGTCATGTTTCTCTCTGAGTCATGTTTCTCTCTGAGTCATGTTTTCCTCGAGTCATGTTTTTCTCTCTGAGTCATGTGTTTCTCTGAGTCATGCTGAGTCATGTTTTCTCTGAGTCATGCTGAGTCATGTTTTCTCTGAGTCATGCTGAGTCATGTTTTCTCTCTGAGTCATGTTTTCTCTGAGTCATGTTTCCTCTGAGTCATGTTTTCTCTCTGAGTCATGTTTTCTCTGAGTCATGCTGGAGTCATGTTTTCTCTGATTCCATGTTTTCTCTCTGAGTCATGTTTTCTCTGAGTCATGTTTTCTCTCTGAGTCATGCTGAGTCATGTTTTCTCTGAGTCATGCTGAGTCATGTTTTCTCTGAGTCATGCTGAGTCATGTTTCTCTCTGAGTCATGTTTTCTCTCTGAGTCATGTTTCCTCTCTGAGTCATGCTGAGTCATGTTTTCTCTCTGAGTCATGCTGAGTCATGTTTCTCTCTGAGTCATGCTGAGTCATGTGTTTCTCTCTGAGTCATGCTGAGTCATGTTTTCTCTGAGTCATGCTGAGTCATGTCTTCTCTGAGTCATGTTTTCTCTGAGTCATGTTTTCTCTGAGTCATGTTATTCTCTGATCAGGTTTTCTCTGAGTCATGTTTTCTGAGTCATGTTTCTCTGAGTTCATGATGAGTCATGTTTCCTCTGAGTCATGGTTTCTCTGAGTCAGTTTTCTCTGAGTCATGTTTTCTCTGAGTCATGTTTTTTCTCTGAGTCATGTTTTCTCTGAGTCATGTTCTGAGTCCTGTTTCCTCTGAGTCATGTTTCCTCTGAGTCATGTTTTCTCTCTGAGTCATGTTTTCTCTCTGAGTCATGTTTTCTCTCTGAGTCATGTTTTCTCTCTGAGTCATGTTTTCATCTGAGTCATGTTTTTCTCTGAGTCATGCTGAGTCATGTTTTCTCTGAGTCATGCTGAGTCATGTTTCCTCTGAGTCATGTTTCTCTCCGAGTCATGTTTCCTCTGAGTCATGTTTTCTCTGAGTCATGCTGAGTCATGTTTCCTCTGAGTCATGTTTTCTCTCTGAGTCATGTTTCCTCTGAGTCATTTTCTCTCTGAGTCATGTTTTCTATGAGTCATGTTTCTCTGAGTCATGTTTTCTCTGAGCATGTTTCCTCTGAGTCATGTTTTTCTCTCTGAGTCTATGCTGAGTCATGTTTTCTCTGAGTCATGCTGAGTCATGTTTTCTCTGAGTCATGTTTTCTCTGAGTCATGCTGAGTCATGTTCTCTCTGAGTCATGTTTTCTCTCCGAGTCATGTTTTCTCTCTGAGTCATGTTTCCTCGAGTCATGTTTTCTCTGAGTCATGTTTTCTCTGAGTCATGCTGAGTCATGTTTCCTCTGAGTCATGTTCTCTCTGAGTTCATGTTTCCTCTGAGTCATGTTTTATCTGAGTCATGCTGAGTCATGTTTTCCTCTGAGTCAATGTTTTCTCTGAGTCATGTTTTCTCTGAGTCATGCTGAGTCATGTTTTCTCTCTGAGTCATGCTGAGTCATGTTTCCTCTGAGTCATGCTGAGTCATGTTTTCTCTGAGTCATGCTGAGTCATGTTTTCTCTCTGAGTCATGTTTTCTCTGAGTCATGTTCCTCTGAGTCATGTTTTCTCTCTGAGTCATGTTTCCTCTGAGTCATGTTTTCTCTCTGAGGTCATGTTTTCTCTGAGTCATGTTTTCTCTCTGAGTCATGCTGAGTATGTTTCTCTGAGTCATGTTTTCTCTCTGAGTCATTGCTGAGTCATGTTTTCTCTGAGTCATGCTGAGTCATGTTTTCTCTGAGTCATGCTGAGTCATGTTTTTCTCTCTGAGTCATGTTTTCTCTCTGAGTCATGTTTCCTCTGAGTCATGTTTTCTCTCTGAGTCATGCTGAGTCATGTTTTCTCTTCTGAGTCATGCTGAGTCATTGTTTCTCTGAGTCATGTTTCTCTGAGTCATGTTTTCTCTCTGAGTCATGTTTTCTCTCTGAGTCATGTTTTCTCTGAGTCATGTTTTCTCTCTGGTCATGCTGAGTCATGTTCCTCTGAGTCATGTTTTCTCTCTGAGTCATGTTTTCTCTCTGAGTCATGTTTCTCTCTGAGTCATGTTCCTCTGAGTCATGTTTTCTCTGAGTCATGTTTTCTCTCTAGTCATGTTTTCTCTCTGAGTCATGTTTTCTCTCTGAGTCATGTTTCTCTCCGAGTCATGTTTCCTCTGAGTCATGTTTTCTCTGAGTCATGCTGAGTCATGTTTCCTCTGAGTCCATGTTTTCTCTCTGAGTCATGTTTCCTCTGAGTCATGTTTCTCTCTGAGTCATGTTTTCTCTGAGTCATGTTTTCTCTGAGTCATTTTTCTCTGAGTCATGTTTCCTCTGAGTCATGTTTTCTCTCTGAGTCATGCTGAGTCATGTTTTATCTGAGTCATGCTGAGTCATGTTTCCTCTGAGTCATGCTGAGTCATGTTTTCTGCTCTGAGTCATGCTGAGTCATGTTTCTCTGAGTCATGTTTTCTCTGAGTCATGTTTTCTCTCTGAGTCATGTTTCCTCTGAGTCATGTTTTCTCTGAGTCATGTTTTCTCTGAGTCATGCTGAGTCATGTTTCCTCTGAGTCATGTCTCCTCTGAGTCATGTTTCCTCTGAGTCATGTTTTCTCGAGGTCATGTTTCTCTCTGAGTCATGTTTCCTCTGAGTCATGTTTTATCTGAGTCATGTTTTCTCTGATTCATGCTGAGTCATGTTTCCTCTGAGTCATGTTTCTCTGAGTCATGTTTTCTCTGAGTCATTGCTGAGTCATGTTTCTCTCTGAGTCATGCTGAGTCATGTTTCCTCTGAGTCATGCTGAGTCATGTTTTCTCTGTAGTCATGCTGAGTCATGTTTTCTCTGAGTCATGCTGAGTCATGTTTTCTCTTGAGTCATGCTGAGTCATGTTTCTCTCTGAGTCATGTTTTCTCTGAGTCATTGTTTCCTCTGAGTCATGTTTTCTCTCTGAGTCATGTTTCCTCTGAGTTCATGTATTCTCTGAGTCATGTTTTCTCTGAGTCATGTTTTCTCTCTGAGTCATGCTGAGTCATGTTTCTCTGAGTCATGTTTTCTCTCTGAGTCATGCTGAGTCATGTTTTCTCTGAGTCATGCTGAGTCATGTTTTCTCTCTGAGTCATGTTTTCTCTGAGTCATGTTTCCTCTGAGTCATGTTTTCTCTCGAGTCATGCTGAGTCATGTTTTCTTCTGAGTCATGCTGAGTCATGTTTTCTCTGAGTCATGTTTCCTCTGAGTCATGTTTCTCTCTGAGTCATGTTTTCTCTCTGAGTCATGTTTCTCTGAGTCATGTTTTCTCTGAGTCATGTTTACTCTGAGTCATGCTGAGTCATGTTTTCCTCTGAGTCATGTTTCTCGAGTCATGTTTTCTCTGAGTCATGTTTCCTCTGAGTCATGTTTCTCTCTGAGTCATGTTTTCTCTCTGAGTCATGTTCCTCTGAGTCATGTTTTCTCTGAGTCATGTTTCCTCTGAGTCATGTTTTCTCTCGAGTCATGCTGAGTCATGTTTCCTGAGTCATGTTTCTCTCTGAGTCATGTTTCTCTCTGAGTCATGTTTCCTCTGAGTCATGTTTTCTCTGAGTCATGTTTTCTCTCTTGAGTCATGTTTCTCTGAGTCATGTTTTCTCTCTGAGTCATTTTCTCTGAGTTCATGTTTCCTCTGAGTCATGTTTTCTCTCTGAGTCATGCTGAGTCATGTTTTCTCTGAGTCATGCTGAGTTATGTTTCCTCTGAGTCATGTTTTCTCTCTGAGTCATGTTTTCTCTCTGAGTCATGTTTCCTCTGAGTCATGTTTTCTCTGAGTCATGCTGAGTCATGTTTCTCTCTGAGTCATGTTTTCTCTGAGTCATGTTTCCTCTGAGTCATGTTTTCTCTCTGAGTCATGTTTCCTCTGAGTCATGTTTTCTCTCTGAGTCATGTTTTCTCTGAGTCATGCTGAGTCATGTTTTCTCTCTGAGTCATGTTTCTCTGAGTCATGTTTCCTCTGAGTCATGTTTCTCTCTGAGTCATGTTTCTCTCTGAGTCATGCTGAGTCATGTTTTCTCTCTGAGTCATGCTGAGTCATGTTTTCTCTGAGTCATGCTGAGTCATGTTTCCTCTGAGTCATGTTTTCTCTCTGAGTCATGTTTTCTCTCTGAGTCATGTTTCCTCTGAGTCATGTTTTCTCTCTGAGTCATGCTGAGTCATGCTGAGTCATGTTTCCTCTGAGTCATGTTTTCTCTCTGAGTCATGTTTTCTCTCTGAGTCATGTTTCCTCTGAGTCATGTTTTCTCTCTGAGTCATGTTTTCTCTCTGAGTCATGTTTTCTCTCTGAGTCATGTTTTCTCTGAGTCATGTTTCCTCTGAGTCATGTTTTCTCTCTGAGTCATGCTGAGTCATGTTTCCTCTGAGTCATGTTTTCTCTCTGAGTCATGCTGAGTCATGTTTCCTCTGAGTCATGTTTCCTATGAGTCATGTTTTCTCTCTGAGTCATGCTGAGTTATGTTTCCTCTGAGTCATGCTGAGTCATGTTTTCTCTGAGTCATGTTTTCTCTCTGAGTCATGTTTTCTCTCTGAGTCATGTTTCCTCTGAGTCATGTTTCTCTCTGAGTCATGCTGAGTCATGGTCTTTCTCTGAGTCATGTTTTCTCTCTGAGTCATGTTTTTCTCTCTGAGTCATGTTTCCTCTGAGTCATGAGTCATGTTTTCTCTGAGTCATGTTTTCTCTCTGAGTCATGCTGAGTCATGTTTTCTCTGAGTCATGCTGAGTCATGTTTCCTCTGAGTCATGTTTCTCTGAGTCATGTTTCATCGAGTCATGTTTTCTCTCCGAGTCACTGTTTTCTCTCTGAGTCATGTTTTCCTCTGAGTCATGTTTTCTCTGAGTCATGCTGAGTAATGTTTCCTCTGAGTCATGTTCTCTATGAGTCATGTTCTCTCTGAGTCATGTTTCCCTCTGAGTTCATGTTTTCTCTGAGTCATGCTGAGTCATGTTTCTCTGAGTCATGTTTTCTCTGAGTCATGTTTTCTCTGAGTCATGTTTTCTCTGAGTCATGCTGAGTCATTGTTTTCTCTCTGAGGTCATTGCTGAGTCATGTTTTCCTCTGAGTCATGTTTCCTCTGAGTCATGTTTCTCTGAGTCATGTTTCTATCTGAGTCATGTTTTCTCTCTGAGTCATGCTGAGTCATGTTTCCTCTGAGTCATGTTTTCTCTCTGAGTCATGTTTTCTCTGAGTCATGCTGAGTCATGTTTCCTCTGAGTCATGTTTTCTCTCTGAGTCATGCTGAGTCATGTTTCCTCTGAGTCATGTTTTCTCTCTGAGTCATGTTTTCTCTGAGTAGTCATGCTGAGTCATGTTTCCTCTGAGTCATGTTTTCTCTGAGTCATGTTTTCTCTGAGTCATGTTTCTCTGAGTCATGCTGAGTCATGTTTCCTCTGAGCCATGTTTTCTCTGAGTCATGTTTTCTCTCTGAGTCATGTTTTCTCTCTTGAGTCATGTTTTCTCTGAGTCATGTTTTCTCTGAGTCATGCTGAGTCATGTTTCCTCTGAGCCATGTTTTCTCTGAGTCATGTTTTCTCTCTGAGTCATGTTTTCTCTCTTGAGTCATGTTTTCTCTGAGTCATGTTTTCTCTGAGTCATGTTTTCTTCTCTTGAGTCATGTTTTTCTCTCTTGAGTCATGTTTTCTCTGAGTCATGTTTTCTCTCTTGAGTCATGTTTTCTCTGAGTCATGCTGAGTCATGTTTCCTCTGAGTCATGCTGAGTCATGTTTTCTCTGAGTCATGCTGAGTCAGGTTTTCTCTGAGTCATGCTGAGTCATGTTTTCTCTGAGTCATGCTGAGTCATGTTTTCTCTCAGTCATGTTTTCTCTGAGTCATATTTTCTCTCTGAGTCATGTTTTCTCTGAGTCATGCTGAGTCATGTTTTCTCTGAGTCATGCTGAGTCAGGTTTTCTCTGAGTCATGCTGAGTCATGTTTTCTCTGAGTCATGCTGAGTCAGGTTTTCTCTGAGTCATGCTGAGACATGTTTTCTCACAGGTATGAAGACAGTGTTTGCCGGCTCCAGCTGTAACGACATCGTCTGCACGGAGCAGTGTGTGATGAGCGGACACTTCGACAAGAAGGTCCGATTCTGGGACATCAGGTACTCATTATTCAATTTTCTAAAATATCTCAAACCTCATCTCGAGCCAGGTTTGCTTTTTTCTATATTTAACATGTTAGCTCATTTGTTACCTGCTATGTCACTTTGCTGTAACACTGTAAATGTGTGTGTGTGTGTGTGTGTAGGGCAGAGAGCATGGTGCAGGAGCTCCAGCTCCAGGGTCGGGTCACGTCTCTGGATCTGAACCACGACCGCACGGAGCTGCTCAGCTGCTCCAGAGACGACCTGCTGACCATCATCGACCTGAGGACCGTCAGCGTGAGACACACACTCAGGTAACACACACTCAGGTAACACAGTTACACACACACAGTTAACACACACACAGTTAACACCAGGCCATCAGGCCACCGGGAGGTTTCAGCTCAGACTGAGAGGCTCTAATAACTACAGCTCAGACTGAGAGGCTCTGATAACTACAGCTCAGTCTGAGAGGCTCTTGATAACTACAGCTCAGACTGAGAGGCTCTGATAACTTACAGCTCAGGCTGAGAGGCTCTGATAACTACAGCTCAGGCTGAGAGGCTCTGATAACTACAGCTCAGACTGAGAGGCTCTGATAGCTACAGCTCAGACTGAGAGAGATAACTACAGCTCAGACTGAGAGGCTCTGATAAATACAGCTCAGGCTGAGAGGCTCTGATAACTACAGCTCAGGCTGAGAGGCTCTGATAACTACAGCTCAGACAGAGACTCTGATAGCTACAGCTCAGACTGAGAGAGATAACTACAGCTCAGACTGAGAGGCTCTGATAACTACAGCTCAGACTGAGAGGCTCTGATAACTACAGCTCAGACTGAGAGGCTCTGATAACTACAGCTCAGACTGAGAGAGATAACTACAGCTCAGACTGAGAGGCTCTGATAACAACAGCTCAGACTGAGAGGCTCTGATAACTACAGCTCAGACTGAGAGGCTCTGATAACTACAGCTCAGACTGAGAGGCTCTGATTAATACAGTTCAGACTGAGAGGCTCTGATAACTACAGCTCAGGCTGAGAGAGATAACTACAGCTCAGAGTGAGAGGCTCTGATAACTACAGCTCAGGCTGAGAGGCTCTGATAACTACAGCTCAGACTGAGAGGCTCTGATAACTACAGCTCAGACTGAGAGGCTCTGATAACTACAGCTCAGACTGAGAGACTCTGATAGCTACAGCTCAGGCTGAGAGGCTCTGATAACTACAGCTCAGGCTGAGAGGCTCTGATAGCTACAGCTCAGGCTGAGAGGCTCTGATAGCTACAGCTCAGGCTGAGAGGCTCTGATAGCTACAGCTCAGGCTGAAGAGATAACTACAGCTCAGGCTGAGACTCTGATACTACAGCTCAGACGAGGCTCTGATAATACAGCTCAGGACTGAGAGGCTCGATAATACAGTTCAGGACTGAGGCTCTGATAACTACAGCTCAGGCTGAGAGGCTCTGATACTACAGTTCAGGACTGAGAGGCTCTGATAGCTACAGCTCAGGCTGAGAGAGATAACTACAGCTCAGGCTGAGAGGCTCTGATAAACTACAGCTCAGACTGAGAGGCTCTGATAACTACAGCTCAGACTGAGAGGCTCTTGATTAATACCAGTTCAGACTAAGAGGCTCTGATTAACTACAGCTCAGACTGAGGAGCTCTGATAACTACAGCTCAGGCTGAGGCTCTGATAACTACAGCTCAGGCTGAGAGGCTCTGATAACTACAGCTCAGACTGAGAGACTCTGATAACTACAGCTCAGACTGAGAGGCTCTGATTAATACAGCTTCAGACTGAGAGGCTCTGATAACTACAGCTCAGACTGAGAGGCTCTGATAACTACAGCTCAGACTGAGAGGCTTCTGATAACTACAGCTCAGACTGAGAGGCTCTGATAAACTACAGCTCAGACTGAGAGACTCTGATAACTACAGCTCAGACTGAGAGGCTCTGATAACTACAGCTCAGACTGAGAGGACTCTGATAACTACAGCTCAGACTGAGAGACTCTGATAACTACAGCTCAGACTGAAGAGACTCTGATAACACACAGCTCAGACTGAGAGGCTCTGATAACCTACAGCTCAGACTGAGAGGCTCTGATAACTACAGCTCAGACTGAGAGGCTCTGATACCAGTCAGACTGAGCTCGAGCTACAGCTCAGACTGAGAGGCTCTGATAACTACAGCTCAGGCCTGAGAGGCTCTGATAACTACAGCTCAGACTGAGAGGCTCTGATAACTACAGCTCAGACTGAGAGGCTCTGATAACTACAGCTCAGGCTGAGAGGCTCTGATAACTACAGCTCAGACTGAGAGGCTCTGATAGCTACAGCTCAGACTGAGAGGCTCTGATAGCTACAGCTCAGACTGAGAGACTCTGATAGCTACAGCTCAGACTGAGAGGCTCTGATAACTACAGCTCAGACTGAGAGACTGATAACTCAGGTAACACACACACACACACACACACACACACACACACACACAGGTAACACACACACACAGGTAACACACACACTCAGGTAACACACTAAGGTAACACACACACTCAGGTAACACACACACACACACACACACACCACACACACCCCACACACACACACACACACAGGTAACACACCACACACACACACACACACCACACACACAGGTAACACACACTCACAGATATAATATATATATGTTTATGTGTGTATTAATAATAATGTGTGTGTGTGTAGCGCTCAGGGCTTCAAGTGTGGAGCAGACTGGACCAGAGTGACCTTCAGGTGAGTCACCTGTCCTGATGATGTCATCACTCATCTCTCATTTAACTGTGTGTGTGGTAATGTAATAATGTGTGTATTTGTGTGTAGTCCTGACGGCTGCTACGTGGCGGGGGGGTCAGCAGACGGCGCTCTCTACATCTGGAACGTCCTGACGGGGAAGGTGGAGCGGACTCTGGACCGGAGCCACAGGTGAGACCTGGAGTCATGTGACCCTGGAGTCATGTGACCTCACACAGGAAGCTCTACAGCCTTCACAATAACAGTCCATATCAATACATATATAAATATGATATATACATATGAACATTAAAGGTCTGTTATAGGCATTTATTATAGCTCTCAGATAATAAGGACATGTCTCTGAAGTGTCCTGCTCCAGACCCCAAAACAGATCCTTGTAGCCCCCCCCCCTCTCTTCCAGCCTGTTACTAAGGACATGTCTCTGAAGTGTCCTGCCTCCAGACCCCAAACAGATCCTTGTAGCCCCCCCCCCCTCTCTTCCAGCTGTTACTAAGGACATGTCTCTGAAGTGTCCTGCTCCAAACCCCAAACAGATCCTTGTAGCCCCCCCCCCTCTCTTCCAGCTGTTACTAAGGACATGTCTCTGAAGTGTCCTGCTCCAGACCCCAAACAGACCCTTGTAGCCCCCCCCCCTCTCTCCCAGCTGTTACTAAGGACATTATTATATCATAACTTAGTACTTTTTTTTAATGCATGTAGAGAAGACATCACTTTGAGAGTCTCCTGACACACCGGGGACACATGGTGATGTAGAGAAGACATCACTTAGAGAGTCTCCTGACACACCGGGGACACATGGTGATGTAGAGAAGACATCACTTTAGAGAGTCTCCTGACACACCGGGGACACATGGTGATGTAGAGAAGACATCACTTAGTGAGTCTCCTGACACACCGGGGACACATGGTGATGTAGAGAAGACATCACTTAGTGAGTCTCCTGACACACCGGGGACCACATGGTGATGTAGAGAGACATCACTTAGTGAGTCTCCTGACACACCGGGGACACATGGTGATGTAGAGAAGACATCACTTAGAGAGTCTCCTGACACACCGGGGACACATGGTGATGTAGAGAACACATCACTTAGTGAGTCTCCTGACACAACGGGGGACACATGGTGATGTAGAGAAGACATCACTTTGAGAGTCTCCTGACACACCGGGGACACATGGTGATGTAGAGAAGACATCACTTTGAGAGTCTCCTGACACACCGGGGACACATGGTGATGTAGAGAAGACATCACTTAGTGAGTCTCCTGACACACCGGGGGACACATGGTGATGTAGAGAAGACATCACTTAGTGAGTCTCCTGACACACCGGGGACACATGGTGATGTAGAGAAAGACATCACTTTGAGAGTCTCCTGACACACCGGAGACACATGGTGATGTAGAGAAGACATCACTTTGAGAGTCTCCTGACACACCGGGGACACATGGTGATGTCGAGAAGAGACATCAGAGTGACTTTTGCATAATAAGGGACTTTTCATATAAACATTATTATATCTGCTGAATCGCTGTTTCCTGTTTCCTGTTTCCTGCAGCTCTGCCATCAACTCGGTGTCCTGGTCGCCGTCAGGAGCGTACGTGGTCAGCGTGGAGAAGAGCAGCAAGGCCATCCTGTGGTCCGACATGTGAGGGGGGCCGCTAACGTTAGCATGGAGGAAGCTAGGGCCGCTAACGTTAGCATGGAGGAAGCTAGGGGCGCTAACGTTAGCATGGAGGAAGCTAGGGGCGCGAACGTTAGCATGGAGGAAGCTAGGGCCGCTAACGTTAGCATGGAGGAACCCAGGGCCGCTAACGTTAGCATGGAGGAACCCAGGGCCGCTAACGTTAGCATGGAGGAACCCAGGTGCGCTAACGTTAGCATGGAGGAACCCAGGGCCCGCTAACGTTAGCATGGAGGAACCCAGGGCCCGCTAACGTTAGCAGGGAAGAAGAAACCAGGGGTGCTAACGTTAGCAGGGAAGAAACCAGGGGCGCTAACGTTAGCGGAGCGTAGAGGGAAGAAGCTGATGGACACTAACATTTTCAGAGACAATTCAAGGGTTGCTAAAGCTAGCAAAGAGGAGCGAAAAGAGGCCTAATGGAGACAATGTGATGGACACTAAAGGAACCAAGAGATGCTAACGTACGCTTACGTTGGAGAAGAGGAACTGAGAGACGCTAACGTTAGCGCAGAGGAGTAGCGGGACGTTACCCCCTTAGCCACGGCCTCGTTGATGGACGCTAAACGTTAGCTGTGGTCGTTGATGGACGCTCAACGTTTAGCTGTGGTCGTTGATGGACGCTAAACGTTAGCTGTGGTCGTTGATGGACGCTCACGTTAGCTGTGGTCGTTGATGGAGGACGCTAAACGTTAGCCGCGGTCGTTGTGAGCACGAGTGTGTTGCTGAAACATTAAAACTGTTTTTTTGTTTAAACTGCAGACTCCCTCTCTTCCTGGTATACATCACATGACACAACTTCCTCATGGTATACATCACATGACACAACTCCTCATGGTATACATCACATGACACAACTCCTCTCACGGTTATACATCACATGACACAACCCAGTACTCCTACGGTATACATCACATGACACAACTCCTCTCACAGGTATACATCACATGACACGAACTCCTCTCACGGTATACATCAATGACACACTCCTCTCACAGTTATACATCACATGACACAAACTCCTCTCATGGTATACATCACATGACACCAACTCCTCTCACGGTATACATCACATGACACAACTCCCTCTCACGGTATACATCACATGACACAACTCCTCATGGTATACAGCACATGACACAAACTCCTCTCACGGTATACATCAAATGACACAACTCCTCATGGTATACATCACATGACACAACTCCTCTCACGGTATACATCACATGACACAACTCCTCTCACGGTATACATCACATGACACAAACTCCTTCTCACGGTATACATCACATGACACAACTCCTCATGGTATACATCACATGACACAATCCTCTCACGGTATACATCACATGACACAACTCATCTCACGGTTATACATCACATGACACAACTCCTCTCACGGTATACATCACATGACACAACTCCTCTCACGGTATACATCACATGACACAACTCCTCTCACGGTATACATCACATGACGCAACTCCTCTCATGGTATACATCACATGACTGAACTCCTCACAGTATACATCACATGACTCAACTCCTCTCATGGTATACATCACATGACTCAACTCCTCATGGTATACATCAACATGCAAACTCCTCAGGTTATACATCAATGACAACAACTCCTCAAGGTATACATCACATGACTACAACTCCTCATGGTATACATCACATGACACAACTCCTCTCCGGTATACATCACATGCACACAACTCCTCTCACGGTATACATCACATGACACAACTCCTCTCACGGTATACATCACATGACACAACTCCTCATGGTATACATCACAATGACACAACTCCTCATGGTATACATCACATGACACAACTCCTCATGGTATACATCACATGACTCAACTCCTCTCATGGTATACATCACATGACTTCAACTCCTCATGGTATACATCACATGACACAACTCCTCATGGTATACATCACATGACACAACTCCTCTCACGGTATACATCACATGACACAACTCATTGGTATACATCACATGACACAACTCCTCATGGTATACATCACATGACACAACTCCTCATGGTATACATCACATGACACAACTCCTCACGGTATAACATCACATGACACAACTCCTCTCACGGTATACATCACATGACACAACTCCTCTCCTGGTATACATCACATGACACAACTCCTCTCACGGTATACATCACATGACACAACTCCTCTCACGGTATACATCACATGACACAACTCCTCTCACGGTATACATCACATGACACAACTCCTCTCATGGTATACATCACATGACTGAACTCCTCACAGTATACATCACATGACACAACTCCTCATGGTATACATCACATGACACAACTCCTCATGGTATACATCACATGACACAACTCCTCATGGTATACATCACATGACACAACTCCTCATGGTATACATCACATGACACAACTCCTCTCAGGTATACATCACATGACACAACTCCTCTCACGGTATACATCACATTACACAAACTCCTCTCATGGTATACATCACTGACACACAACTCCTCTCATGGTTATACATCACATGACACAACTCCTCCTCATGGTATACATCACATGACACACCTCCTCCTCTCGCATCACCAACCTCCTCATGGTTACATCACATGACCACAACTCCTCTCATGGTATACATCACATGACACAACTCCTCTTGGTATACATCACATGACACAAACTCCTCTCCTGGTATACATCACATGACACAACTCCTCTCATGGTATACATCACATGACACAACTCCTCATGGTATACATCACATGACACAACTCCTCATGGTATACATCACATGACACAACTCCTCATGGTATACATCACATGACACAACTCCTCTCACGGTATACATCACATGACACAACTCCTCACGGTATACATCACATGACACAACTCCTCTCACGGTATACATCACATGACACAACTCCTCATGGTATACATCACATGACACAACTCCTCTCACGGTATACATCACATGACACAACTCCTCTCACGGTATACATCACATGACACAACTCCTCTCCTATACATCACATGCACAACTCCTCTCACTGGTATACATCACATGACACAACTCCTCATGGTATACATCACATGACACAACTCCTCTTGGTATACATCACATGACACAACTCCTCTCATGGTATACATCACATGACACAACTCCTCATGGTATACATCACATGACACAACTCCTCATGGTATATATCACATGACACAACTCCTCATATACATCACATGACACAACTCCTCTCACGGTTATCATCACATGACACAACTCCTCTCACGGTATACATCACAGACACAACTCCTCACGGTATACATCACATGACACAACTCCTCTCACGGTATACATCACATGACACAACTCCTCACGGTATACATCACATGACACAACTCCTCTCATGGTATACATCACATGACACAACTCCTCTCATGGTATACATCACATGACACTCCTCTAACTCCTCATATACATCACATGACACAACTCCTCACGGTATACATCACATGACACAACTCTCTCTCACGGTATACATCACATGACACAACTCCTCTCACGGTATACATCACATGGGACACAACTCTCTCACACGGATACATCACATGACACAACTCCTCTCACTGGTATACATCACATTGACACAACTCCTCATGTATACACTCACAGGACACAACTCCTCTCACGGTATACATCACAGACAAAACTCCTCTCCTGGTATACATCACATGACACAACTCCTCTCACGGTATACATCACATGACACAACTCCTCTCCTGGTATTACATCACATGAACAACTCATCTCTGGTATACATCACATGACACAACTCCTCATTGGTATACATCACATGACACAACTCCTCACGGTATACATGCACATGACACAACTCCTCACAGTATACATCACATGACACAACTCCTCACAGTTATACATCACATGACACAACTCCTCACAGTATACATCACATGACACAACTCCTCACAGTATACATCACATGACACAACTCCTCTCATGGTATACATCACATGACACAACTCCTCCTGGTATACATCACATGACACAACTCCTCTCATGGTATACATCACATGACACAACTCCTCTCATGGTATACATCACATGACACAACTCCTCTCATGGTATACATCACATGACACAACTCCTCCTGGTATACATCACATGACACAACTCCTCTCCTGGTATACATCACATGACACAACTCCTCTCAGTCAGCTGACATGTATTTCCTGCTTCTGATGAACGCCTCTCAGAAACGTTGTTTATTTGATGTATTCTTAACGTCTGTAGTCCTTTACACAGAGTACCTTTGTTAGTCCCACGGAGGGGACATGTGCGTAGTTACAGCAGGAAAAGAGCCACAGACAGCTTAATGTAACATATGTTAAATGTGTGACATGCATTAAAAAAAAGTACTAAGTTATGATATAATAAAAAATATAATAAAAAATAAAAAGTTACATAATTTTCAAAAAACACATCCTGTAACAGTTCTGAGGATTTAGCAGCCAGGGAGATATTACACAGTTATTAACGGCATATATATAGCACATATTGCACATAGTTTGTTGGTATTTAGCAGCAAGGGGTGATATAGTCTGTGTTGTGGTGTGTGTGGGGGGGGTCTACTAGGGGCTGTGCTGGTTGTATAGTCTGACTGCTGCAGGGAGGAAAGACCTGCGGTATCTCTCCGTGAGACAGCGGGGGTGCAGCAGCCTATCGCTGAAGGAGCTGCACAGTGAGGACAGGGTGTCCAGCAGGGAGGACAGCTTGGCTGCCATTCTCCTGTCTCCCACCACCTCCACAGTGAGGACTCCTGTCTCCCACCACCTCCACAGTGAGGACTCCTGTCTCCCACCACCTCCACAGTGAGGACTCCTGTCTCCCACCACCTCCACAGTGTCCAGAGGACTCCTGTCTCCCACCCCCCATGTAAACCTACAGGTAATGAACCCACAGGTAATAAACCTACAGGTAATACACCTGTAAACCCACAGGTAATAAAGCCTACAGGTAATAAAGCCTACAGGTAATAAACCCACAGGTATAAAGCCTACAGGTAATAAAGCCTACAGGTAATAAAGCCTACAGGTAATAAACCCACAGGTAATAAAGCCTACAGGTAATAAAGCCTACAGGTAATAAACCCACAGGTAATAAACCTACAGGTATAAACCATGGTATAAAGTAAACCCATTCTGGTCTGTGGGTGCAGTTACCGCGCTCCGCCGCCAGGGGGGCCTCCGGCCTCTGGGCGGCAAGCTGCTGCTGCTCCTCCTCCCCGGGTTTTGGAGGCAGGATGGCGGCTGCAGAGGGACCAGAGCCTCGCTGTCCGGGAGGATTCTTCAGACAGCGAGCCGGAGCAGGAGCCCGGATCCCCGCAGAAAACTCATCCGGAAAGTGTCCACGTCCCGGACAGATCCGCAGCAAGGTACGGGGCGGGGGAGGGGGGTTACCGGACAGACTCCCTGTCAGAGGCTGTTCTGCAGCGGGGGGAGGAGGGCTGTTCCCCGGTCAGAGGCAGTCCCTCAGTCCCCGTAACTCGGTCTGTCGTTCCAACTTCTCTAGTATACAGTCTATAGTAAACTCCTCTAGTGTATCCTCTAGTGTATCCTCTAGTGTATCCTCAGTTTATCACCAGTGTATCACCAGTGTATCACCAGTGTATCACCAGTGTATATCACCAGTGTATCACCAGTGTATATCACCAGTGTTTATCACCAGTGT